CTATTCTGCTGATCCAGCGGAATCTATGGGAACTAGTCACATAAGTGCTGCTGATGTAGCGGAATTCGTGGGAACTGGCCACATAACACGTGAGATAAAATCACAACCGCTACCGTTAATTTTATGCAGAACGCAATGCACGATATTTCTTTATATCTCGAATGGCCTTTGTGAAAATGTGTGATGTTGGCCTCGTAAAGGACGAAGAAAGGAAGTATTTTCGTCACGCCAACCCCCATAGAAATGAAAATTATTTGTTTATTAAATTCCCATGGAACTGGAATCGTTCGTAACGGAATGAAAATTGAGGAACTGAGAATTTCAATTTAATAAAATGGAGAAACATTCCTAGAAAATTGAGCGGCGAACAGCAATTTTGATGAGGAATTTTGCATATTTCGAAATTAGTCTATTGACTGTTTTTGCAGAAGTATTAAGTAGACTGATCGATTATCAATGCTTTGCATTACGAGATTACTGGAATCGATGGACTTAACTGTCCATGAATTCAATAGGCAAATTGCGGGCCCTTTCACGGACATCGCGGATGGCTTTTTGAACATCAAATATGCGAAAGTATTTAAGAAAGACTAAAAAAATTTAGCACTTATTCCACCTACAGGGTGAAGACGCTTGTTACAATTTCAAATTAAGTAGTTTGATGGTCATTTGGCCAACTATTAGTGTAATTAAGCATGATGCTTTAACGCGTTTAGCGTATTTGAGGTTAGTTTTTGGACTATACTCTACACTTAACTACACTTTACTACACACTAAACTTACAAATTATAGCAATGTCCAACATGCCACCAGTTTACCTATCTTGTGCAGACTCGAAAGGTCTAAATCTTCTATATGGAAGACGCGCGAGAGAAACTGTTGTCAATTACACGCAAATAGATTAAAGCATTTCTTTAAAGAAAAATAGTAAAAAAATAATTTTATTGTTGGAACTATGAAAATATTCTCTTAAAAATTTTCCATAAAAGTCTTTCCCATGAAAATTCATTAGCGTGTAATTGACAACAGTTTCTCGCGCGTCTTTAGTCTTGTAGGTACGTCCAAATGCATTGTTGCCGAATTTGTTATTCAGTTTTTTTGCAAATATCTCCGTTTTTAGTGAGAAACATATTTTTTTCTGTACTTCCTACATACCCCTAGAAACGTTCTCTAGAGGAACGAAAACAATATTGAATCATTATTTAAATTATCATCAATCGTTTAAAGTTAAAGTTTTTCACAGTTGATTATTTGGAAAAAAATCACCTACAAAATATGGGCCCAAAAATCGATATTTCGTAAATGTATAGCGCTCAATATACCTGGAAGCTCTTTCATAAGCATATCCAGAGTGTTTGCAACTGAAATAGCAAAAATATTTTCCTCTAAACTCGTAGAAAATCGGCGCAAAGTGGGACTTTTTCGGTTCAGTCATCGAACGAAAAAAACACTCGCACATTTCGGTTACTTTAAGCGACTTGGCTTTTTCAAAAAAATGGTAGTAAAGTAGAGAAATCACTGTTTTTTGTGATCACAATCACATTTGGATTTTTTGCTTGTGTGCATTCAAAATAGCACAAAGACAATTTGAGAACAAAATGGGCCAAACTTGAATAAAATCCTGCAAAATGACATCAATCTTCTGCTTTTTGCGACACCAGCAAATTTCAGCTACATATAGACGAAACTTGATTCAAATCTGGCGATTTGTTGTACGACTGGGATTTTAATAGCAAAAAAATCCAATTTGCCTGAAGAACACAAAAAAGGTCGTTAAGAATCAAACAGCCGAAAATATGCAAAGACCAAAACCTCGGGAAATTGCTCAAGGGAATCATTTTAAGTATATATCCAGGATCTTCATGTGCGCTTTGGCTAAAAAAGATGAAGATTTCCTTCACTCGGCCCCAACCATTCCATCTAAAACTCGTGATAAAACCTTGGGGTTGATTCTCAAAGGGTTGAAAAGCTGGCGCATCACAAAATTTCCGAACTTTTTCAATAGATTTCTGACATATTCCGACTCGTTGGCCCCGTATGAGGCCTGATCCTGCGCCCCAAAGGCCCGTACTGTTCCTGAGGGCAGTGCGGGAAAATTCACGCAACATCAACAAGTCTTCCTGCGACCGTTACAACGATCGCGTCGGCAGGAAACCGGGACTCGCGTTGAAACAATGTCGATCGCGATTAAACTTAAACAATTTCAAATCCCCAGGTGCAAAGGGGAGAAGCTGGCCAAAATCGAGTTTAGGGGTGAGTTCTATCTCGGTAGCAGGCAGCGCTTTAGTTGAAATGCTTGAAAGTTAATGATTTTTTTTGAAAATTGGCTTTTTGGTCTGTTGGGGTCGAAAAAACGTCTTGGTTTTTCTTGCAGGTGTTTAGACGCTCAGTGAAAATTACTGGGATAAGCTGATTAAAAAAACTGTAAATTTTACGCTTGAACTGAAAATTGTTCCAAAAAACAGTTAACGACTTTTTAAGATTGGCTAAATAGCTGTGATTGATTTTTTGAATTAGTTGTTTCATTGCAAAGGTTTTTTTGCCGAGAGAACCTGAAAATGTATCTATTTAAACGAACTTTTTACCATTTAATGCATAAAAATAGCGAGTAAAGCAACTATTCAGCGTCAAAGGCAACTGACTGTCGATTTTTCGGTTTACGTACGATCAAAGCCCGATAAATATGGATTAACTATTTTTATGCTAAACGAGGCACATATTTGTTACACGGTAAACGATATGCCTTATTGCGGCACCGTGCAAATGTATACGGATTATTTTTATGAAACCCCTAACCGAGCGGAACGTTGTAGCAAAAACTGGGTCAAAACTGCTGAGTTTTTCGAGCTTTGGGGCCGTTGTGAAAAATAATTTCAGTTAAAAGCCCCGAACTCATCAGTTTGATCGCGAAAACTTAAGGTTTTTTTCTGATTCACTGTATATGGAAACTGTACCATTTTCAAACACACTCTGTATATTTTTCTCGGGCCCAATAAAAGGTGAAATACTTAAATTTTGCTTTATTTTCGTGAATAAGCTAATGAAAATAAAGTTTACATGAAAAATCGCCATTGCGAAATCATAATGCACTAAAATATTTTTATTAATAATGGAATTTAATATGATTTCATCTAAATGGCGTATTTTAGCAGGAAAACTCAACAAATCAATTGCAAAATTTTAAAATTTACTCTGCAAGTGCCCGATGTATTTATCAGTTGTTGGGCGATTTCCTGCATAGGCAAACGATAGCTAGGTTTTACGCAGTAATTAATATTAACTAATGTTTTCATCAACAAAAATAAATATTCTACACTTCCGACTCAATTATACAGAGCGTTTGAAAACGCGTGAGAAAAATTTGCGTGAGATTCTCTATCGCTTCTTGTACACCTAAACAAAAATTAATCAAGGGAATTTTCAGGCGTTTGGCACTTAACAAAACTGCTAGAAGACAATGCTTCAGAACTTCTCATTGTTGATCAGGTAAGAATTAATACGAAAAGCTCTAGTAAATAAAACTGAAATTGCAAGGGGAAAAGTGAGACGCAGTTATAAAAAGGATCACAAAAGGGCTTAAAAGGCCAGGAAATCGTAGTAGTTCACGACTTCTTTGACGTTGTTTGAAAATATATGAGGCCAATGCATCGAAAAGAATAGGGACTTGAATGCCAAACAGATAAAAATGCGGTTTACAGTAGTGAAAGTAAAAGGAAACTGTTTGCATCATTTTCCTGCAATCCTGAGACGCGCATCAAAAATCATCATCAAAACTGAGAATCCAATATAATTTTTTTCCCGATTATAGAGATTCGATTGGCCAATAGCAAGGCCGATAGACGATGACGAAACCATCCTTATTGAGTTGTACTTAAGAAATCGGCTTTTCGCCGACAAACTCATCGGCTCCTATCGAATGGTGCTCCAAAAAGTCGCTCAAGAAGGCCGGATTAACGTGTGCGATAATTTGGTGGACAGCAATAATAAAACAATCGAGGTAAGTTTGAAGATATTAAGAAAAACCACTTGCAAATGGTTGGTTAAAAGTGTGCGAAAATCTCAGGCACGCGCTGGTACTGGTTTTGAACCCATTAGCTGGGTTTAGCCTGAAAATAACACTCCCAAAACATGCACTTTTGTTACAACTAAAAAAACTTTTGTTACATCAACGTCTGTTGCTACTCATATATTTTATTGGAACATTGCATTGTTCTTCATCAAAGGGTTAGTTTATCTATCAGCAAAAAGCTAATTGAATAACCGGAAAGTGCATCAATTAGCATCTGAATTCGCAATTTAGTGGGAACATTTGTACTTTATTCAATCAGCCAAACGGTAATGTTATCAGACCTAATTAATCTAATTGCTTGCTCGGCTCGGCCGCCGAAATGAAGCTTCGGAAGAGTTGGTTATTCCAGCTAAAATTAAAATTAATTGCGATACTATTATCAACAGAATTTATTAATTATTACCACTAATTGAATTATTGAAAAGTTGAAACTCGTGAAGAGTTTCTCTTGTACCTTGTGGCCCTGGAAACCCCGAATTTCTAGACGATTCTCACAATAACTTCGTGTTCCCTTAAGCCTTAAACAAGCCGAAATCAGGGGCGGATCCAGCTTTAAAGTCAGGGGGGGTTATGTAGAAAAAAATACAGTCTTCTGTTGTTTGTGAAGTTAGAAAAATGATCGTCGTTTTGTGCAAGGGTGGCGCAAGATTATTCCAAAATGTCATGTTCTCCGTCCCGTTTTGCATGTTTCTCGGAAGCAAAATGAGCAAGAGGCTCGTTTTTACATCATTCCAGAGATAACTAAATGGCCTTTATTCGAAGTTTCTCAAGAACCATTTGAGTCACAGAATTCGTTTTGGCATCGTTGGATAGGGAATTGAAAAGTCGATTCAGTCGTAACAATGTTAGTAAGGAAATTTGAGTAGTTTTGACCCAGAAAGCGAAATTTGAATATCTGACACTTAGGTGCAAGATTATGCCAAAATTCCATGTTTTCCGTTCCATTTTTGCTCATTTCTCGGTGGCAAAATGAGCAAGAACGCTCATTTGTACATCATTCTAGAGATAAATAAATGGTCTTTTTAGGAAGTGAACCATCGATAAGAAAATGTTGGCAGTTTTCTCAAAAAATGCTTGAATTCAAGAAGTTTTAGATTTGCGTGGTTTTCTTTGAGTTGCAAA